GTACCTGAGAGGGGGGAGGGTCAGAGGGAGAAGCAGACTCCCTGCTGAGCAGGGAGCCCGATGTGGGACTCAATCCCAGGACTCCAGGATCATGACCTGAGCCGAAGGCAGTCGCTTAACCAACTGAGCCACCCAGGCGCCCTATCATAAGTGATTTTGTAATGTTTTGGGGGACCTGATCCTCCACTGGTGATCTCTCTCCTGAAGTTCCCTTAATCTGGGAGCACATATCCTATTAATGATCCCTTTTCCATTCTTGGAAGGCAGAACACAGAAGTCCACTTCCATCTTCTCTGCTGAGACTGTTTTCCCTCCAGACAGGATATAACTAGGCTGGTTCTCTCTTGAACATACCCCCTATTTAGCTTGTGAGAAACACTGTTTTCCCAAACAAATATTGGTAGCACATACTGATTATACCCTGTGATCTACTATCAGAACCAAGCATAGCTTCTTACCCATTAGGTTTCTCAGTTTCCTCTGCTGATTTAATGGACTTCAATATTATGATATACCTTTTGTCATTTATCAGAATAACAGATGCTATTAGTTATTCTCCAGAAATTTTTCATCACAAAATATTAATTTTCTATTAGGTTACTATCTTAAATTTCATAGTACTTCTGTAGTGTTTTCATATCTCTTTTGTGCCATTTTAAAGTTGAGCTTCTATCTTAAATTCTGCACTAAGAAAGGACATACGTACAGTTGTGGTCAGCATATCCCTATACAAATGAATCAACTATAGTGACAACTAAAAAACAATGAGGGTACTGAACCTGAACCGACATCCAATCCTGCGTAAGCTTGCCTTTGTGTGCTCTCACATTTTGCAGTTTTTGAGAAATGGTTTCAGGTATCCTGGTTTTTCTGGTTATGTCTATATCTCATTCACAAAACAGTTCTTTTATTTAAAAAAATTTTTTTTAAAGTAAGCTCTAGGCCCACTGTGGGGCTTGACCTTACAAACCTGAGATCAAAGGTTACATTCTCTACTGACTGAGCCTGTCAGGCATCCCTCATTCATAAAACAGTTCTAATTTGTGCTTGAATGCCATTTTCTAAAAAATGTTTAAATCTTTGAGTAAATGAAGATTCTTTTGGAAAAAGCATTTTAAAATACTATAGAATACTCGGTGAAACACTTTATATAGCTTTATTTTGGGGGGATAATATTACTTGAGTGAAAAATATCTGCTGGGTTTACTCTTTTGGTGATTCATGTTGTGTTTGGTTATGATAAATCAAATCTTCCATGAAAGTCTCACATTTCATAGTTCTGAGATCTAAAGCAACCTGGATAGGATGTAAATGATATGAAGCGCTAGGCAGAAAAGAATTTTATTATAAAAGCAAATATATTGTGTAAGTACAAAATAATAAGTTTTTTTTTTTCTAAATCCATACTTGCAAACAAATTTCATCACATTACAC